TCCTCCTCCTCCAGCTCCTCCTTCCACTTCCTCCTCCTCTTCTCCTTCTATTTCCTCCCCCCTCCTCCCCCCCTCTTGTTGTCACATAACTGTGACAAATCTAGGCCCAGAAAAGCTTATTAGAAACCTTTCCAACCGTTGGGTTGTCCATAATTTAGATTCTGATCATCTTACCTTTTTAAAGAAGGCATTTAAGTCTGCTTCCCTCTGAACCCACGAAGGAACATTTTCTCCTTTCTTCTTTTGCCCCAATTAATTCAGATTTTATTTTTATTTTTTTAAGATAGGGCTAACACCATCTGACACTGCTTCACTGATGACCTTTTTCATCTGTCAACACTGGCAGGTTTTTACCCTACAAGAGTCTGTCTGGTGCCCCCAGAGATGTTTCAGGGCACATTAATCCATTCCATCAGACGGTCACCAAAATTATCATTCATAGTTTACCTTCCTTTCTTATTTCCTGCTTAGGTATTTTCAGCTTCCCAGGGGCAGAAAGTTGAAGACTGAATTTCTTTGGACAAACTAACTAGCGCTTCCTCTAAATGCTGACCATAAACATCCATTATTGTCAGAGAGATCAGCAGAAGATGGCTCCCATTTATTTTCTTTCCCTTACTACTCATCCTTTCCTTGATGTTGACCTGCCATTGGGCTCCATCAAGAACCGACAAGAAGAAGCATGGTTAAATCAAGAGGCAAAGAATCCTGGGGGGAAATTGTGAATAGATAGATGTCTTTGGAGATGGTTCAATTTTCATTCATCTGGCTGATATGAACCAAGCGTGATTTCTTAGGAAAGCCACAGCATGGGTACCCGTTTCAACTCCAGCCCTCAATGGACCTTAAAGATAGGGCCACAAAAGAGTCAGCTTGGTCTAGTGGTTAAGGCACCAGGTTAGAACATGAGAGATGGTGAGTTCTAGTCCCACATTAGGTGTGAAAGCTGGTTGGAAGAATTTGAGCCAATCACCAGGAGATGATGAGTTCTAGTTCTGTTTTGGGCACAAAAGTCAACTAAATGATTTTGGGCAGATCACCAGGAGATGATGACTTCTAGTACTGCCTTAGCCATGAAAGCCATCTGGGGGACGTTGGGCCAGTCCTCAGGAGACTGTGTATTCTAGACACAATTTAGGTATGAAAATCAGCCTAGTAGTTTGGGGGCAGTCATCAGGAGATGGTGAGTTCTAGTCCAGCCTTGGGCATGAAAGCTGGTTGAGTGACTTCGGGCCAGTTACTTCCTCTCTCAGGTAGTTCATTTGTTATGAACAGGAACAACCTATTTCTCCTAAGATCATTGACTGACTCTATCTATCTATCTATCTATCTATCTATCTATCTATCTATCTATCTATCTATCTATCATCTATCTATCTATCTATCTATCATCTATCTATCTATCTACCTTAAAAAGAAATGGAGACGCACATTTGCTACCCCAGAGACCCTGATTACATTTCATTATTGTAAATTTAAGCAAGATCCTTTGTTCAGCTCTCCACAAGACCAAAGCAAC